TACAATTCACAAAAAAAACAATAAAAAATACAATTCACAAAAAAAAACAATAAACAAATACAATTCACAAAAAAAAAAAACAATTAAAAAAATACAATTCACATTGCAGGTTGGCGAAAGAAGAAACGCACCAACAGAATGTCACTCGATTACCGGAACACAAGCAATGGGCCTCGCTCCACTACACAACACTACGTATCTGGACAGCATTATATGCTCCCGATGCATGCAAAATGTTGCACATCCGAATGCCCCTAGTCCAGAAAGCGTCCAAATGCATGTAGAATGTTGAGTAGTGAAGCGAGGCCTACTATTATTATTATTAGATTGCACCACACAGAACACAAGAAATATTACATCGCACCGCACGGACCAGCGAATTTTGATTTCCATTCCAAAGAAGAAGACGAAGAAGGAAAAGACAAAAGAAGTCCTTCGGGACATCCGTTAAAATTGGAACGATAGAGACAAAGAGAAGATTAGCATGACCCCTGCGCTTTCAAGGATGACACGCATTAAAAAAAATAAATAAAAAAAAGACAATGTGGAAAAAAAGAATAAGCAGAAGCCGCCGGCTCCACAAAGGAACGCGCAAGTAACATTATATTCCACCGCACGAGTCAATCAACCAATTCATTTCCCCCCCAAAAAAATAAATAAAAAAATCAACCAATTCGAACTCGATAGAAGAGGAGCAGAAAGCAAAAGCAGAAAGCAGAAACAGAAAGCAAAAGCAGGAGGAGGAGGAGGAGGAGGTGGAGGAAGAAGCTCGGCTAAAAAACAAGTAAAATTATTATGGCCCAAATGCATCAACGAAATTTGACGTTGAGGGCACAAACATCGGAGAAAAGTGGGTATCAACCATGGTTCCTAAAAAGAGAAAGAAGAAGAAGGGGGGGGGGGGGGGGGGAAAAAACATCGGAGAAAAGTGGGTATCAACCATGGTTCCTAAAAAGAGAAAGAAGAAGAAGGGGGGGGGGGGGAAAAGCAAAAGGAGAAAAAAGAGAAAGATGAA